GGAAGTGAAATATTGTTCCATTCACACCCAGAGCTGCCCCTCTGCCAGGGTTGGTTTGGGTGAGCTGATGTTCTGCTCACTCACCCACCTGGCAAAAGGCAGAATTTTCAGTTTTCTCCCATTCCCTGTTAGTGCCATTATTGCTGCTGCTCCTTTTTCTTATTTCCTTTTGAGTAAATTGCTGAGGAACACGGAGCTGCTCAGAGGAGCAGCAATGAATGGATGGAACACACACTAATGTCCCAGAGTAAGGCTCCCCATTCCCTTGGGAATTGTCTGGTCTCGGGATCCTTCTCACATTTTATAGCAAAGAAATCCCATCCAACAGCAGCGCTGCTCCTGGCAGCAGGAGGAGGAACAGGGGAATCTCTGCCCTCAGGCTGGAATTGGGAAGGAACCCCTGGGAATGGGTCCCTGGGGCTGGAGGGAGGAGGTTGGGGCTGCTCCAGGGAATCCAGAGCCGCAGTTTCTGGGGGAAGCTGAACCACACCGAGTCACTTTCTTCCCCTTTTCCAGGCCACCCTGGGGTCCCTCAGCTTGTGGCAATAACGTCTCAGTGTGGACATTTGTTTATTTACACACCTCAGGCCAGACTGTCCCGCTGGAATTCCCAGAGCTGTCCCATGGGCCCTCCTCGAGTGCTTCCGCCCGTTGTTCATCTCCCACAGCTGCTCAGATCCCTGCTGTGACTGCAGACATAAATCCTCCTCATTCACCCAGCCCAGCTCCCAGCCATATGTTATTGCAGCAGGCTCAGTTTTTATATACTTGTATTTTTTATGTCCCAAACAGTACAAAACTTCTGTTTGCAATCCAAACAAAGCCTGTTCTGAACCTTTTTTTGCTTAGAGATTGTATTTCAACAGCTTGCTTAAAATTAAAACCTAAAGGAAGAATCATAAGATGCTTGATTTATTATTAATCATGGGGGAAGATAAATGTTTTCAATCTCTTTATGTCTACAAAGCACTGCAGATCCCACTAGGAACTTGGATGGCTCAGGCAGCTTCCTGGGCATTTTAATCTTCAATGTAAATTCATTCTCAAAAAAAAAAAAAAAAAAAACCCACACCAAAAAAAAAGCAACAAAAAAACCAATCTATCAACCAAACAAACAAAAAACAAAAACAAAACCCCAAAAACTCCCCTGGCTCCTGGGAAGGACAGAATAACTCCCCTTGGGTTTCAGTTGTCCTGTTCTCCATGTGTGTGCCCTGTTTACTGCCCAACCTGCAGCTCTGACAGGCTGGATTATTTTAATTTCCCCAGATCTGTTTATTTGTCCATTAGGTGAGACATTATGGCCATTATTGGGCTGATGCTGCACCAGAAATTCCTTTTTACTGAGTAGCACTAAAACTTTTCCAAATGAACTACACATTCCCTGTATCAGGCATGTCTTCCACAATACTTAAAATATAATTAAGTGCATTTATTTTCAAATACACCCTGAGACAGGTGCTGGACACAGGCCCTGTTGGAAGGCAGGGTACACAGGATCTGACCTGGACAGATCCCAAACTGAGGTCACACCTCTGAGATTGGGCTCCAGCACAGAGCAGGCAATTAAAACTGGGCCGCCACGTTTGATTTTCGATATCTCATTTAAATCTTGTAACCAAGTTCAATTAGTGGCCTTGGAAAAGTTTTCTAAAATTTAGTGCTGCTTCACTGCAATGCTTTTTATGACTTTTCCTTCTGCACAGCCTTTCTTCTTCCTTTGAATCCAGGCAATATTAAGGAAATATTATCTTTGTAAAAGCAGGTAATGTTGATGATTTTATTGATTTCAGATAGCTGCCACTTCAAGACAAATTTCCACTTCAGTCTGGAGGCGAAGAACAAAGATTTCCAATGTTCTCAATTATTCAGCACAGCCCTTCCTCCTGGGGGGTGAGAGATGTGTGTGGGGAGGAGCAGGGGGTGCAAAGGGACTGCCCAGAAACGAGGGATGTGGAGCAGGAGCAGGTGGGAGCCAAGCCCACGGACACAGCAGAACTGGGAAATTGCAGAATTAATGAATTCCACTTCTTCTTCAGCCTCAGTCCTGCCCCAGCCATTCACTGCCGCCATCCCAAACAGCCTCCAGAACAAACAGCACTGGCTTTGAGATCTGATTTGGGTTATCTGTCCCCAAAATCCAAAAACCTCAGTACACAAAATCCACAAGCCACCTGCTCCGTGCTGGGTGCCCCGGGGTGTCTGAGACCCTGCACTTCTGCATGTCAGGGGGCAGGGGGTTACACTGGGAATGCTGACCCCCAAATCATTAAAAACCCCCTTTCTGAAGAGATCCATTCTTCAGCGCTGCAGTGCTGAGACACTTCCCAGTCTGAAAGCACTTAATGAGATAATTTGCAGAGAGCTTTAACGAGTTCCAGCCATCTCTTGGCTCCATCCCACCTCGGCGGCACTGACTCCCTGCAGCCACTTTCACAGGTACAATTTGGTCCTAGAAATTGGGTAGTTTTTTTAAAAGCACTGCAGTCTAAATCATGTCATATTCTCAGTGAAACATTCGGAGAGTAAATGTAGAGTCCTGGAGAGAAAAATGTTACTCACGATTTTCACATAATGGAGCTGCAGCATAAAAACGCCCTGGGCTGAGTAATTGTGAAAGTGGAGCCAAAAATAAAACCCTAATTTTTTTCCCAAAGTGAATTTCAGGCTCCCATATCCATGGCAAGAATAAAAGTTTAATTTCCATCAATATAAAAGGATTAGAGCTTAGATTTGCATGGATTGTCACAGTGCTTGGCTCCAGCAGGCCGAGCTCCTGGCTCAGGCCTCGTGGAGGTTGGCCACACATTCAGCTGCCACAGCAGGAAATGGCAACAGCTAAAAGCCCATCTTTTTTCATGTGTTTTTTCCTCTCTGATGTCCATGTTTAGGTAGAAGTTACATGTCCATTAAAGGATTTAATTGCTCCTTTTTGCCAGGGCCCTGCCAGGGCTGCATCCAAGAGCAGAGCCATGGCCCAGGGCTCACCCTCCCGAGCCTGAGCAAAACAGAAACCAGAGAAGGCTTTAAGAGATCCCAGCACAAATTACCAAACAGAGAATCAGTGTCACAACCTGACAGGGCATTTGCCACCAGATCTGTCCCCACACCACCCACCACAGCCTGCAGGCCCAGCCCTCCCAGAGCTTTGCATCATCAGCTGTGCGTGTAAATCCAAAATCATTTCAGTTGGAAAAGCCCTCCAGACCTCCACATCCAGCCTGTGCCTGATCCCACCCTGTCCCCAGCCCAGAGCTCTGAGTGCCACATCCAGGAATTCCCTGGACACCTCCAGGGATGGGCACTGCAAACCTCCCTGGCAGCCCCTGCCAATGCCTGACCACCCTTTCCAGGAAGAAATTTCCCAAATGTCCAACCTGGCCCAGCTTGAGGCTATTTCCTCTCATCCTGTCCCTGTTCCACCCTGCAGGTTCCCTGCTCTGGCACAGGTGTCTGGGTAAGGACCTTGGCTGGTTCTTTTTCCTCCTTTCCCCCTTTACTTCCTAAGCAAAAGCAGCTCTCACAAACCAGGAAGAGCTTTTGCCACGTTTCAAGCAAGAGCAGAGACTCCAAGCTCAAATTGCTTTAATAATTTATTCTGGTCTTGAAATCCCTGGGGTTATTTCACAGAAAATGTATTTTAAGTTGTTTGGCTCCAAAATGACAAGATAACAGACGATACATATTCATTTGCTGCCCCGAGATGGTGATGAGATGTTACAAAATAAAGCAGCAGATCCTCCCTCCCCCAAACAGTGACTTGTGGCTTTATCTCCCCAATAGCACCCGAATTGTGCTGCCATTTATCTCGAGGGGCTGTTTGTGGAAGGGATTGTTTGCAGCTGGAGCTACAAGGCATGAAACAAACTGATAATAGAACTTTCTTCTGAAGCTCATTCTTTGGCGGTGGCATTTTTCTTTTTTCCTTTATGAGCTTCATGACAGGCAGCAGTAATTTCCTCTCTGTATTTTAGCACAAACAACAGATTAGTGTCACACTGTTTGCTGGGAGCTTTTGCTCGCTGCTTGCATGAGCACTTGTTGGTGTTTGGTGCGTTCCAAATAAATCATGTGGTCATTGATGAAGATAAAGAGCAGAACCATGTCCCTGGCAGGGCAGAGCAGGCTCAGCACAGCTCCTCCTGCTCCTCTGCACGGGCAGAGGTGAGGAATGGCACTGTGGGAATGGCACTGTGGGTCACAGGACACGGGCCACGGCTTTGTCTTCTCTAAAGACACAGCCCAGCCCTGGGCTCCGCACACACCACAGCCCAAAGGCAACAGAAACGTAACACAAATTAACTGCATCCATCACACAGGGTGAATTATTCATCTGGAGAGCATGTAGAGCACATCATAGAACCTCACAGGAAAAATTACTTTAATTTTTGCCCTTCTTCACACAATAATTAATTATGTTTTCATACTTTTAGTAATATCACTGTGAGAAGCCACTGTCAGAAGCCACGAAACATTGCATGGCAGTTCCTCCTGTTCCTCTGATGTATTTCTTCAAGGCAAAGTTTTCTATTTTCCACTCTTCCCACCACTGGAAAATCAACCTCCTGTTCTGTTTTCTCCAGTGCTCCCAAAGCAAATGCACCTCACCCACGTTTGGGCTCCATCGCTTGCCCCCAGACTCTGCAGGCTTTGCCTCCTCACCACAGGCTGGTCCTGCTGGGATAGATCTGGAAATCAGAGGATTTCCAGAGCCCTGCCCTGCCCAGGCTGGCACAGCCTGGCACAGCACCCACAGCCAGCTCTGGCATGGAGCAGCTCTGGCTTGGAACCCCCATTCCAGACCAAACCCTGCAAATGCCACAGGTAGTGACTTGAAAAAACAAATAGAGCAAAAGTCTACCCAAAGACCACCATGAAAAACTATTTCCACCTCCCACAAACTTCCCCTTTTAAAAATAAAGTACCACACAATTCCTTTTGGAAGTAGATGAAAAGAAACCAAGAAGAAACATTTATAATTTTCTTCTGTGTTGAGATAAATGACAGAAGTGGAGTTTTTTAGGAAAAAAAAACTGCCTCCAGGAACCTCCAGGAACCACCAGGAACCTCCGGGTGCCACCAGGAACCCTCAGGCCCACCAGAACCTCCAGGTGCCACCAGGAACCACCAGGAACCTCCAGGTGCCACCAGGAACCTCTGGGTACCACACCAGGAACCTCCGGGTGCCACCAGGAACCTCCAGGAGCCACCAGGAACCTCCAGGTGCCACCAGGAACCTCCGGGTACCACCAGGAACCTCCGGGTGCCACCAGGAACTTCCAGGAACCTCCAGGAACCCTCAGGCCCACCAGAACCTCCAGGTGCCACCAGGAACCACCAGGAACCTCCAGGTGCCACCAGGAACCTCCAGGTGCCACCAGGAACCTCCGGGTGCCACACCAGGAACCTCCAGGAACCTCCAGGAACCTCCGGGTACCACCAGGAACCTCCGGGTACCACCAGGAACCACCAGGAACCTCCAGGTGCCACCAGGAACCACCAGGAACCTCCAGGTGCCACCAGGAACCTCCATGTGCCCTCAGCACTGCAGGGCTTGCCTCTGCTCTCTGAAATTCCCCTACCCAGGCACTCAGCTGAGACCTGAGCTGAGATCCTGCTGCTCCAGGGTCCCTGGTGCTGCTGACAGCCATTCCCCACCAGGGTCACCCTGCACTGTGTTTCCAGCACCATTCATCAGCCTGCCTTTGATCAAAGCAGATCCCCGACATGAAACTTAGCTTTTTTATACAAAAATGTTTTATAACTATCAATTACAGAGCAAGAAAATTAATACAAAGTGGGAAATTACTATTGGGCAATAAAAATAATCTGATTAATTGCTCTCTGATCACTGTATACAAAGATCAGGATATGAAAATTGCATTTTATTGAGTTTATTCCTTCTAGATTCCCACATAAAAGTTGGGTTTATCTTTTAATTGATCGACAGTGCATTTACATATAAATCTGAAAATTTGAGTGTGGGAAGATGGCTTTAAATGAGCAGCAGAGGACATCCAGCGGGTTAGGAAAAGGCTTAAAAACATTTAAAGTTACCCTTAAGGAATGCTGGTGGCTCTGCACTGGGATCTGTTGCCATTTATCCTCTAATTAATCAGGCTTTTGTCTTAATTTCTGTAATTGCTTCACAATTTTGTGAGAAATCAAAGTATTAGTTAAGAAATATTTGCTGGTGACAGGGACTGCAGCCTTGTGCTGCCTCCTCAGAGCACCCATCTGAAAAGGAAATAAAACCCAGCAAAGACAGGACAGGGAGCAGCTGCCCAGGTGCCAAAGGGATTTCCCAAAAGGAAATAAAATCCACAAAAAGGGACAGGGAGCAGCTGCCAGGTGCCAAAGGCATTCCATGGCCAGGGCTCTGTGTGTCACCTCAGGGCCATTCAGACTCACCCCACTCAGGCCAGCCTGGGAAGGCACGGGGGGATTTCAGAGGTGAAGTTCAGTGGCACAGGCAAAGGACTGGGGGAGCTTCACAGCCAGGGCTGCACTGAGGTCCCCCAGGTGTTTGTCACCCCCTGGCCACACCTGCAGGCCCAGGTGTGCCCCAGGGAGCGCTCTGGGCTCAGGAGGGGATGGGGATGGGCAGCCCTGCCTGACCCCACAGCTCCCATTAAGGGCAATTCCCATGGGATGGGCAGCCCTGCACCCCTGTACCCTCACAGACCCAAAGCCAGCCCAGGCCACCCCTCCACCCCATGGGGAGGCACCCAGGGCCCACTCCCCCCTGGGCACCCAGGGCAGCTGCCTGAGTACCAGGTAATGCTGCAGAAATGTTTTATTCATAACCTCCTGCACCCTGGCACCTGCTTTTCTTTGGGCACTTCTTTAACACACGTTTAATTCACTTATTTGAGAGCACCGAGATATTTCCTAATTACCTGAAGTGCTTAAACGATTCCACTGTTAATAATTCCTCTATTTTCAGCTGTGAGGGCTCAGCTGCTGCCAGAGCAGCCCGTCCTCAGGCTGGCCTTCCCTCCCAGGGCAGAGGCACAGAGAAATTCTGGGCATTTCCTGGGCTGCCACCTCGCCCACCCAGGACATTCTCCTGCAGATGACTTTGCTCTGCTTGGCTTCTTAGGAGGATACAAATAATCCTGTCAGGGCTCTCTGTTCTACTCCATTTACCAGCTCTACTCTCAGCATTTCTTCTATAAATGTGGGGTAGAAAATTACCTCTGTGGGGTACAAATTACTTTCAACTCAGGCTTTTCCCAGAGGAATTTTTTTGAACAAAGAAGGAGGAAGAATATTTGGAATTATTTTCTAGTGCATCTGGTTGTGGCCTTACAAACCTGAGCAGGTATAAATAAATGTTTGTCATTCCATGCCCTGGATCCCTGGCAGTGCCCAAGGCCAGGCTGGATGGAGCTGGAGCAGCCTGGGACAGTGGGAGGTGTCCCTGCCATGGCAGGGGTGGCACTGGGTGGGATTTAGGGTCCCTTCCAACCCAAACCCTTCCACAAAATCAAGATTAACTAAAACGTCTGCACAATCCAACCAATCTCAAGGTATTACTGTGAAAACACAACATATTCATTTGAAATTTAAATAAATGGAAAATTGAGGTTGGGGAATAATGGAAGAAAAAGTGAGAGGCAGAGGGTGGCAAGAGCTGTGTTCAGGGTGGCCTGGCCACAGACACGTTCCTCCCTGAAGGGATGGGAAGCTCAAATGCCTTCAAAAGAAGATCAAGAGATCAGGTTTGAACACCCTTCACTGCAGAGCCTGGCAGGTGCTGAGTGCACAGACAGGAGGGAGCAGCCCAGGTCCCCACGCTGCCAAGGGCACCAGGATGCTCTGGTGCCAGTCGTCCTTTGCCCGGGCACCCTGTGCAGCCCAGCTGTGCCTGGCTGCCCCCTCTGTCCCTGGGCACTGCTGCTCCTTCCTGCCGTGGGTATTCTCACTTAGGCTCCACCAGCTCTGTGCTTGGACAGAAATGGTTTGGTAATTGGCCTTATAAATGGCAAGGACTCAACACACTCTCACTCTCATCTCCCCCAGCAACTTAATAACTGCAGATTATGGATGATCAGATCCACCTGGAGATTGCGAGTGCAGTTTCTGTCATTAGAATCTGCCACAGAGCATTATTTAATAACTGCCTGCTTCCTGCCCTTCAGCTGGGCTCTGCAGAGAGCAGGAGTGCTGCTGCCCTTCCCAGAGCCTGGGGCTGCACCCCCAGCCAGGGGGGCCATGCCAGGCACAGTGCCAGGGTGCTGGGCACAAAGCTCTCTGTCCTTTCTGCCATTCCTCAGGCTCCACTGATCCCTCACCTCGGGCTGCACTGCTCCAGGCTGACCCAGGGGCTGTGCCTGAGCTGCACAGGCACGAAGGGGTTAAACTAAACCCAGAGTGTTCCCTCAGTATTAGTGGAAATGGCAGTGCAATTTTCAGCCAGACAGAGCTATCCTGTAATGCTATAAACACCATGCTCCCTCCTCCCTGGTGTTACCTGAGTGGGTATTTACTGGATCCAAAGGAGAACCAGCAGATTCCCCAGCCCAGCCTGAGCAGCTCCTCAGGGCATCCCTGACTCCTCACAGCCCTGCTGGGAGCGAGGCCATTGCTCTGCTGCAGAGGAAACAAGAGCTGTCAGTGATTCTTTGGGTAAAGGGGAGAAAAGATAAGCCAAATATGCCAATTTATGCGTGGAAAGGTCAGAATTTAAGAATTCTCACTTCTTACGCTGCTACATATCTTAAAATGGAATAAATTTTAAGAGCACCATAAAACTATATTCTTCATCCCATTTCCCATGTAACTGGTGCTCCCTCTCTGCCTGCATAAAGACAAGCCTCCAGCTCTTTTATTAATATCCATGAGCATAATTTAATGGCTGATCCAGCACTGGAGACACACATTTCATATTTAACAGAAAGGCTGATTTGGAAGGAGCCTGGCAGAGCTGTAATGAACAGACTGGTTGTTCAGTCTGCTCAGATCAATACAACATCATTTACTTATTGCCACTTATTGGCCAAGTCATTTTTTGTCATCTTGGTACTTGTGTGTAGCAACCAGAAAAGTGGCAGACAAAAGGACTTAAAATTAATTATGTTCACGTGGCTTCAATTCATGTAAAAGCCTAAAGCCCACTCTGCAATAGAGATCAAATAGTTCTCTTTATTTCCCTGCAAACACACTCACACACACAATGCTGAAATAGCACAGAGCAGTTCTAAAGAGCAGGCCAAAGCTGCTTTGAGCACAGGGCCCTGCAAACAGGCAATAAAATGAGATATCTTTATCAACTGCAGCACTGAACCGAACCCTGGAAAGGAATAAACACCAGAGAGACAACAGAGCATCCAGAGGAGCTGCCACTGCTCCGGGGGCCGTGGGAGGCTCCAGCCCAGCACTGTGGAACAGAAAGCTTGGAGGGCCTTTTTGGATAGCACCTTTTATGTGCTCTCTGCCCTGAGCCCAGCTCCCTTTCCAGCTCATTCCAGCTGGCTCTGCCTCATGTGTTATTCATGCACCTCAGGAGGAAAAGCGAGCACGTTGCCCGAGCTGCCAGAGCACATTATGGTAACATCACATTTGAAGGCTCTTATTTCCCCCTATATCCAATTATTTTTCCTCCTAGGTTCCAGAATCAAAAACAGGTGAGGGAAAACACCTACTGAAAGTTCAGGGAATGGGGCTGTGTGTGTGCCAGGAGTGCTGCCAGCCCCCTGAACCCGGCAAGAGGGTGGTGCAGAATAGGGATCATGGAATGGGGATCATGGAATAGGGATCATGGCATAGGGGTCATGGCATAGGGATCATGGCATGGGGATCATGGCATGGGGATCACGGCCAGGCTCTGCTGCCCCTCCTCACCAGCCTGGCTCCACAGCCAGTCCTGCCCTTCACTCTGAGCACAGGAGGAATTTTAACACGTGCAGACTGTGGTGTGCTCAGTGCCTGATGGTTCTGTGTGCTGTGGGACACGTCACAATTGCACAGATTTCCGAAATGTCACAATTGCACAGATTTCCCTGTGGCCAGCTCACCCCAAGTGTCATGGTCTGCCTGCCCTGGCTTTGCTTCCCTCTGCCCCTTCTCCCAGCTCCTCAAGGTTCCTTTCATCAGCTCCCCTCAGAGTGGGTTTGTTTAATTTCAGGAACGTGGAGAATCCCAGGATAACGCACGGCCCCATGGAATGCACCAGTGGGACACAAAGCTCACCATCCATGGGGCCAGCCCAGCCTCTGAGAGCCCAGAGGGATTTCACTGATCCCCCCGGTGCTGCCTCTCCAAAGGGCCCCACAGCCAGAGGTTTTGGGGCTCCCTCTCCCCTTGCACAGGCACGTGGAGTTCAGAACTTGCCCTGGTACCTCTTTCCTCTGGAGATGGAGACGTTTGCTCTGAGAAACCCTCAGATCCCCTACCAGCAGCAATAAATATGATTTTGCATCCCATTTCCTGAGGGAAAAACACATCAGCTCACACTGCCTGAGCCATTTTAAATGTTCCTCCTTGGAAGTGAAACCTGAATCCCCACACA